GGTCCAAGTTAGCATGCCGCTAATGCATTCCCATCTCTGTCAGGTACTGATGTTGAATGATGATCACAAACGCCACTCCAACTCATCCTAAAGGTATTGGATGGAGCTCCATCACTGCAGAGAACGCAGTTTTACTGCTCACACAGCTCAGTGCTGGGGGGCTTTATGCCCCTCTAGCCAACACTTGATCTTGGGCATGGGGGCCTTAGGCCCATGTGAGAGAAATGTACTGATCTACTGTCTTTACAGTATTGGTGATTGGAACCAGGGGTCATAATGTGTACAGCACAAATATAGCCATTTTATTTGCTATCCAAAAGTTTTGTATGTAATGTTAATGATGGTAAAACTGTGGTAAGTCTAAAAAAGTACATTTTCTTTAGGGACTCCTTTGCCTTACAGTGTTCTGTATGTATCTCTACAGCATGAACGAATAAAAACAATCAAAACTATTATAAAAACAACAACCCCAAGTTCCAACAAAGTTGGGATGCTGTGCAAAATGTAAATGAAAACAAAATGCAATGATGTGCAAATCATTTAAACACTATACTTATTAGGAAATAGTACAAAGACAACACATCAGATGTTAAACAGAGAAATTTTATTGTTTTGTTTTTTTTTAAATATATGCCCAATTTGAATTTGATGGCAGCAACACGTTCCAAAAAAGTTGGGACGGAGGCATGTTTACCACTGTGTCTCATCACCTCTTCTTTTAACAACACTCTGTGAGCGTTTGGGAACTGAGGAGACACTGCTGTAGTTTTGGAAGTGAAATGTTTTCTCATTCTTGTTGATATAGGATTTCAGCTTCTCAACAGTTCGGGGTCTCTTTTGTCATATTTCTTGTTTCATAAAGTGCCATATGTTTTCAGTGGTGACAGGTCTCGTCTGCAGGCAGGTCAGTTTAGCATCTGGACTATTTTAATACAGAGCAATGCTATTGTAATACATGCAGAATGTGGTTTTACATTGTCTTGCTGAAATAATCAAGGCCTTCCCTGAAAAGACGTCACTTGGATGGCAGAATATGTTGCCAAAACCTGTATATATCATTCGGCATTAATGGTGCCTTCACAATGTGCATGTCACCCATGCCGTGTGCACTAATGCACCCCTATACCATCACGAATACTGGCTTTTGAACTGTGTGCTATTAACATGCCTGATGGTCTTTAGCCCAGAGGACACAGTGTCCATGATTTCCAAAAAGCATTTCAACTTTTATTCGGCAGACCACAGGACACTTTTCCACTTCACCTCAGTCCATTTTAAATGAGCTCATGCCCAGAGAAGGCGGCAGCATTTCTGGGTCTTGTTTATATATGGTTTCTTCTTTGCATAGTAGCATTTTAACTTGCATTTATGGATGCAGTGATGAACTGTGTTCACAGACAGTGTTTTTCAGAAGTGTTCCTGAGCCCACGCAGTGATTTCCACTGCAGAATCATGTCTGTTTTTAATGCAGTGCCGCCTGAGGGCCCAAAGATCTTGGCTAGCCAATACAGGTTTTCAGCCTTGTCCCTTGCATACAGAGATTTCTCTGAATTGTCTAAATCTTTTAATTATATTATGTAGTGTAGATGATGACATCCCCAAGTTCTTTGCTATTTTACGTTGAAAAACATTGTTCTTGAATTGTTGCACTGTTTGCCTACACAGTCTTTCACAGAGTAGTCAACCCCTCCATATCTTTACTTCTGAAAGACTCAGCCTCTCTGAGATGCTCTTTTTCTACCCAGTGATGTTACTGACCTGTTGCCAATTAACCTTAAGGTGTTTTTTTTAGCATTACACAACTTTACTAGTCTTTTGTTGTCCCGTCCCAACTTTTTTGGAATGTGTTGCTGCCATCAAATTCAAAATGGACATATAATTTTCAAAAAAACAATACAATTTCTGAGTTTTAGCATTTGATATGTTGTCTTTGTACTATTTCCAAATAAATAGAAGATTTGAATGATTTGCACATCATAGCATTTTGTTTTTATTCACATTTTGCACAGCGTCCCAACTTTTTTGGAAATGGGGTTGTATCAAAAAACAATGTCTCAGACATCAGGCAGCATATTCATAACCATTTTGTGGAGCTACTTTCTTTGAGGGACCTATTAGAGGCATTAAACTCTTCAGACGTCCAGTTTCTATCACCACCACTGTGTATAATTATGACTCAGTAAGGTGTTCTAGAATGGAGCATTTCATGTAAAACCATTAAGTAGAAATTTTGAAAAATTGGTGGAATTCACTCATTTGAAAGGGTTTTTTTGAACATATAGTCTATATGCACAGGTTAAGGGTGAGTAATAGTGATAACACCTCCCTCCAATTCTTAAATAGAGCTGTAGATACAAAACAATAACTGCTAATATAACTTCTGAACAAACATGAGCTCTAACTCCTTCCTTCTTTCAAACCATCACGCTTAAACAACACAACCCCCTCCAGAACTGGCTCACTGTGCAGCATCTGTCTTCAAGGATAAACGCTTGTATACACTACAGCTGTTGCGAACAGAACGTCTTTAAAAATCCCACAATGTGGCTTTAAGAACATCTGGAACAGGTCTTTGTGTGCTGGCTCTTTATTAAAGGACCCGAAGGAAATCAGTGCAGCGTAATGCTGAGGACTTTGTAACTGGTCCAGAGGCTGACTGGTATTGATTTTGCCCTCATATGTGTCCCAGTGGGAGCACGTCACATGGGTCACCCTTCTGCAGCCCCGGCTTTCTGAACCAGCACAGAACACAAGACGCCTTTGATTTTGATTTTTTGAGTTTCAGTGCGCGATTATAATTTCATTTCAGTGCCTTGAAGGCTAATCCAGACTGAAGTGCTTCATCAGAAGAGCACAAAAACATTTCAGTGGTCCTTTGCAAAAACTCTGCGCTTAGTGTCCTATAGGACATGTGTTAGGTATTACAGAACAGGTCATATGGGACAGTGTGTTAGGGATAGTTTGTCAGTGCTTTAGGCCCAGTGGCATAACTACCAGCAGTACAAATGAGGCTACAGCACTGGGGCCTGTACTGTAAGAGGGCTCACGGTCACTGGGCTCCCATATGTGTTTATTGGACCCTTTATCTTACTGACACCAAAAAGAAGTCATGCCGGCCACACAGCTGGGGTTAAAACAAAACTTTGTTTTTAACCATAAACTGACTGAGCTGTATAGACAGACCCAAAGGGCCCATATTCTACATTTTTCTTTCACTCATTCAACCCACCTGAGGTCTACTAATGGCATTAAGTGTGGATTAATGTACTAAAAACAGTCACAATTAATCTATACTTGTCCATTTTCCAACTATTCTTTGCTCCTCAGAATTAAACAGGGTGTTACTGTGTTTTTAAGACTGACACATTATAATGAGCTCTGTTCTTATTGGCTGCCTTGTATCGTGCCTTGTTTAAAAAGCAGTCTGGGCTGAAACACTCCTTATAACTCGAATGTACGGGGGTGAGGCTGAAAAGGCTTAGGCAGGTATATGTAAATGTAAATCAAAGAAACTGGGCTGTTCTTTTTTCAGTTTAATTTCCATATACAGACTTTATGGACTGGGGAGTGAACTGTATGTTTTGAAACTTTGACAGTGTTTACATACTACGTCATATTCTTTTACTCAAAAAAAAAGTTTGTTTTCCATGATATGGGCCCTTAAATGCCCTCACAGAACGTTATTACAGAAATGGTTATGAATACACGGACTGATGCCTGAACCATTGTTTTATGATTTTAAGAGGTTCTGGCTGAAAATGTATTTTTAATATCCATTCATGGTGGGGAGGTACATGGAGGGCATTGTAAGGCAAAATATAGAACCAACATACCCTTATTTTTCAGATTTACCACAATATGATTATCAACGTTATATATATATACAAATTAAAAGATGTTTGTAATTAGGTTTGCTGGTGGTTTTCGATAATAAGTTAAATGGCTGCATCTGCACTGTAAGGCAAAATAGTTCTGAAAGAACTTATTTTGACCATTTTACTAACATCAACATTACAAATATAAACTCAGAAGTCTCGTGTAGGTTCACTGGTGGCTTTGGATAGTAAATAAAATGGCTATATTTGTGTTTTAGACATTGTGACCCCTGGTTCCTATCAGCAGCACTGTAAAGAAATCTGAGTCAGTATGTTTATCTATAATGCACCATTTCATACCAAACCACTTTGAATGACTTTGTTTATATTTCAACAACTGAATTATGAAGAAATTGTACATCATTCCTTCTGCTTATTTAGAAAGAATGCAGTACTGAGCTTCTGATTAAAGGGGAATTTCACCAGTTTTTCAAGAATTCTACATAATTAAATGTTTGAGATGTAAACAAAGTCATTCAGAGTGGTTTGATTTGGAATACTCCTGTACAGTGGTGGTGATAGGAACCAAACATCCACCTCTAAAATCTCCCTCATATAAAGTTTTAATGGTTATGAATATACTCCCTGATGCCAAACATGTTGTTTATAATAGTTTTCTGAGTTTTAGCTTAAAATGCATTTTAATCCTTTCATGGTGGAAGGATACAAGAAGGATGTTCTAAAGGCAAAATAGTCCCTAAAGCAAACTTTAGATTTTCCACTATTTTACCATCATCAGCATCACGTTACATATAAAAACTCAGGGCAGCAGGTTCACTGGTGGTTTTGGACAGTAAATAAAACGGCTATATTTGTGTTGTTGACATTGTGACCCCTGGTTCCTATCAGCACCACTGTAAAGAAATCTGAGCCTGTATGTTTCTCCACGAATGAACCACTTCACAGCAAACCTCTCTGAATGACTTCTGTTTGCATCTCAATTCAGAAATGTTGCAAATTTGGTGGAGTTCCCCTTTAAGCCAGGATAAAGAGTTTCTTCGAACGTCTCGTGTCACCTGACGGTCCGGACTACCTGAACCTGAATCCTCCTTGAATCACAGGACTGCAGTCATTGGTCTGCAGCCCGAGGCTCGCATTATGTCATGACGTACGACGTAAAGTAAACGGCGCGTGCTGTGCAGCTCTGCGCTCTGCTCCGCTCTTTTCTTTAAGCGGCGACCCGCGTGCGTCCTACACAGCGGACTCTCCGGACTCTAGAGGTCTCCATCCTCCGGTATTCACTCCCTCTCGGGCATTCTTGTGCATCGCACGCGGACATCACCTACACACGCGAGCCAGAGGAGAACGCGCCGCTGTGGCGGGAACCCGAGACCCAGAAACTTCGATCCCCGAGCTCCTTCGACCTTCTCAGCCCAGCCGAGCCCAGCCGAGTCGGTCCGTATGGAGACGTGGCGGCTCTCGCGCCTCCACTCCGTCTATAGCGCGTAGCTATGCGGCGCTCGCGCGCGCCTCGTGCATCTCCGTCGCCCCGTTTGATGTCATTTCTTTGTTGTCTTTGTTGAACTGAACGCCGGTTCCCCCTTTTTTTTGGGAGGGTGCTGCTGGCGCGCGCGCGCCTGAGTGAGTGAGTGTGTTTGTGACTCGCGTGAACTCAGACGGAGCCGGAGCGCGCCGGTTCCACCTCGAGCCCTCCTCAAGGAGCCTTCACCTCCTCCAGCGCGCGCCGTGATGTCCGCCCTGGTCCGGTCCCTGTTTCTCGGTAAGTGAAGTGACTGAGTTCCGCTGTTAATCATGCAGTTTTTTTGGGGTGGGGGGGGACACGTTTCGGCGCGTGCAAAGCCCGGCAGCACAAAAAATGCAAGTAAGCCTCATTTTGGAGTAACAGAATACACCAGATTTAAGGTGGAGAGCCCGTCTCTTTCTGGCGCGTGCAAAGCATTCTAGACATAAGACACATGAAACACCTCTGTGCAACTTGACCAGACACATATGTCACGTGCTGGATGTTCTGGATGATGTGCACGAGTTGCATCGGGTTTAGAGAGGTGCGAATGGGTCGCGTGCTTTTATTGTGTGCCTTTCCCGTTTATCTCTGCATTGCACGGTTTTGGAGTCTCGTGCGGTGTCGTTGTCCCGGATCCCTCCACACCCATGCGAGTCGAGGGGGCTTGCAAAACTGTAGCTGAACACTGGACGCTGCATGCCTTTGTGTGTGGAAGCTGCCCTATACAGAAATATGACACATGGCAATATAATATATTTGTCATATATTAAGATATGGAATTCCTTTATATCCAACTTATATTTGAAAACACTTGTCCAGTATTTGAAATTGTCCAATATTTCAGGCATATATCCACATATATGTACACCATATTTAATAATATATGATAAACATTAATATATAGAAAGCATATATTACTCATATGTTGGCTTCATGTTATACTATATGGTTTTGTTTATCTTCTCATTATATTATCCTGATGAAGTGGAAATTAGTGTAATAGAGACATAACTAAATCCGAAATACACCCACGTTATAAGCTGTGCAGTAACAGCATTAAAACATGACATTAATGAAGATGTTGTTCCCTGACAAATTAAAATATTTTAATATTTAAAAGCACTGATAACCATAGTGACAAATAAAACTGCACTGGTATGTATTCATCCATGCATCAGACATGCATGTATGATTGATTGTTATATATGCATATATGTTCAATGTTTGATACATATGTGCACAACACTACTTATATGTCTATATATGCCTATATATCAGATTTCCATATGAGGCGAAGGCGGCAAACAAACAAAGAAAAGCTTTGAGCGTGCTCAGCTTTTGTTCGGCTTGATTGGCATTGTTGCGTCTTCAGTTTAGCCCTTGATTAACTAGCTTTTTGTTTGTTTTTGGTTGCCCTCCATTTAAAAAGACTGAAGACGTGCCAAGCCTCTCTGTCTACCCTGAGGAAAATATGCATTTATGTAAATATGTGTAGGATTTTCTGAACAGTATTGGTGGCTTTGTGAAGTGACCGCTGGGTCGAGGGTGCACAAGGATGTAACGTCAGGCTGTGCACGCGCCCGTAAACCGTAAACCCCGTTGGCGAGGTTGCAGCGAGGAGCTCGAGGAGGCTGGTGGCTGGTGGTGCCTCCATTGCATGCATTTTTTTATACATCTTTGAATGCATATTGTGTTAATAGTGTTAATAGTGTTAATAGGAGGTTGTTGTTATGCATAATGCGCCAGCAAAACTTTGCCCACTAATGTTGTTTGGGTTGCTGAAGCTATGCATACTCAGCTTAGGACCTCTTGAGGGTCTTGTGCAGCTGAAATGAGTGGCACATTAAAATTCCGCTTGCACACTGTGTGTGTGTGTGTGTGTGTGTGTGTGTGTGTGGCGCGGCGTATGTCGAGAAGGTCAGCCCTGCTCTAGCACCTCTCTGACTGTCGGAGTCGATCTGAATGATAACAGGAATGAAAAGGAATTTGATCTAGTTTAACTCACACTCTGTTGTTTAATGTGGTTGTGCTGAGTGGCCAGCTTGTGGGGCATTGGCTGGGGTGGGGGGGGGGTCGCTGGGTGTTCCGTATGTTGATGCATGGGTGGGTTCAGTTGGAACAGCTTTTTAATTGGCGTCACGGCAGTCAGTGTGAGCAACAGTGTTTTTTTGTCGAGTGTTCTTGATCTTTTTGTCTACACTGTTATAGATGGTTATTTAAGGGTTCTTTAGTAAAGGAATGGTTCTGTCATGCTTAAATCGTTCTTTGCCTGGTGAATATGGTTCTACATAGAACATAGAATAGAGCATAGAGTGTTCACTGTCCAGTGCAGTCTACTGAAGGCCTCCTTCAGTGCTAACGTTACTTCCAGAATTGCTGCATCACTGCTGTACACCTTACTTAAGACTTGACATGCTTCAGTGATAAACAAATTCACTGTGGCAGTACCTGGTAATAACTTTATGAAGAGAGCCATGAGCTGAACTCTCCATTTGGAAGCTGTATTTGAGAGGGCTACTGTTGTAGCTATAGCACGGTCATGGCTACAGTCCATCTTTGGCCTTTAGCCTACATCAACCTTATCCCCTAGTTTTTTTTTGTGCTGCAAAATAGAGTTGAAAATAAACACACAAATAAATTAGCAAAGGAATACTGCATCATGATTAAGGCTGGGCGATACTGAAATTTCAATATTGTGATATTTTCCAAATCTATATCATAGTGTCATAGTTTCAGAGGATATTTAAGTTACCATTTAAAAAAGTCAGCATTGATAAAGTAATTGCGCCCATTCTTCCTGAGTGTTATTAATGCTAAACGAATATCTTACAAACCAGACACAGCTCGTTTTGACTGGCTTCTTCTGTTCAGAATATGTGATGTCACCCAGCCCTAGTCTTGATCATCTTTGACATGTTAGGCCTATGGTTGTGTGCAAAAGTTTGAACACCATGGGTCATGTGACATATATTTTATTGATTTTCAAAGTGGAAAATAAATAAACACAATTTTCTGCTCATTTTTAAGATATCGCTGCTGTCGGAACAAAACCTTGTATCTCCATTTTTGTCGTTTTTCAGTTTTTCACATAATTTGAAAATGCGTTTCACCCTATACTATGTGTAAATTTCATGATAAAATTACTTGGACAAAAATCTGGTTCCATTGATTTACATTAAAAGTAAGGTTTTTTTTTCTTCTCCTGTAAAGTTACCATTTTGGAGATACAAGGTCTTGTTCCGACAGCAGCGATATTTATTTATTTATTTATTTATTTATTTATTTATTTAAATAGTTAATTATTACATTTTCTGCAAGTTCAGCATGGGGGGAATACAAATAGTATATAAAGTGCTAAAACTGTTTTTTGACAGGGCGCATTTTCTATTTCTTTCTTTCTTTCTTTATTTATTTATTTATCTGCAAATTTGTTCATTCATTTAATTATTAATTTGTTTAAGCTCAACATGGGGGGGATACAAAAAGTATATAATGCGCCAAAACTGTTTTTTGACAGGTGGTCACATTTTCTGTTCATTTATTTATGTATTTATTTACTCGCTTACTTACTTACTTGTTTATTTCTTCTAGCATGTTAAATTCACCAAGTAAACAGTAATTGTGCATTAAAATGTGCAGACGTGTGTCCTCTGTAGAAGATGTGTTATTTTCACTTGGAAAACCAACAAAATGCCACTTGGCAAGGGGCACCCAAACTTTTGCATGCGACAATAATAAACCTTTTTTTTGTAGGGGGATAGAGTTGAAAATAAATAGCCCACATATATATTATTAAAATACTACATTAGTCTAAAACACTATATTGGGTAGACTATATTAATAAGCATGACACTATTTATTTTCTAATTATTTATTTGTTTTTCCACCCTATCTTAGTCATTTGGGCTACGTCAAGCAGATCCCCTCATAAAACAAAGTGATAAACCTAATCCCTCTTTTTTTTTTGCTTTGTACTAGAGGAATAGAGATTGAATAAAATAAAAACATAAACGAAAGTTAGTAAGCAAATGAATCATTTGTCTTTTAGGCTTCATCATAACAAGCAAATAAATAATGTGTCATTTAGGCTTTTCCACCAGTACGAAAAGCAGTGATAAAGCCGTTTTTTTTAATATCCGAATGTATGTCTCAGTATAATGAAATGAGTCTTGCCTCTGCGTTTAGCTTAATGTCCCGAGATACGGAAACCATGTTCATTTCTGCCCGTGGCTTATTGTGATGTGTCGTAATGGCGGTCGTGTCATTATGGCTATAATTAATCTTGGTCTACTGTACTCTGCGGGTGCCTGTGTGAAAGAAGCTGAAGGCTGAGTCGATGCTGTATTTGCGGCGAGCTCCAGAGGCTTGGTCGTGACCCTGTTAAAGCACATCCACCCGAGCAGGGTCGTTCATGTGTTGGGGAAAAAACGTGTAAGTATGCATTTGTTTTCGTGAATAATGGAAATTGGTACGTGGGATAAAGAGGAGGTTTAAGAAAACGGGATGAAGAGGAAGTAGCCCTAAGAGCTTTCTGCTATAATTAATTGAATCAATAGTCTGTAATAGATGCAATTTCCTTTTGATTTGATTCTAGTCTTTAAGATGCATACGGTTGCTTTAATTCAGTTCCACTGTGGAAAGCAGGACCATTGTGCGGTCAGGAATATTACCCGGAGCGTTCTACTCCAATTGCAAACTTCTTAATCTAAACCAGAGTGCTGTGTGGAAATCAAGCGAACCTATATGCGATGATGAACGACCTTCTCCTGCGCTCTAACAGGGTGCCTGCCTATGAATGAGTAATGTTAAATGACTGTCCGGGCAGTAATAACAGATTGTAATTCACTTGTCAGCGCCGTAATGGATCGGTAATGAAACACCTTTTCGCCCAAAAGTCATGTGATCTCTTCGCTCTCCTGCTGCCTCGGTTTAACCAAGTCTCTCCGAACAGAAAAGTTTAGGTCACCCAACAACACGCACCCTCAGAAAGCAGCTGCCGTTACACATTAGCTGCTTGAGTCAGGGTGACTGGTAGCAACGCGCGGTTGGTTAAAGAAATGCAGATTCTGGTCCTGCGCTATATTTAGCTGCTAACCGGCGGCAGAAAGAATATCTCAGAAATGTGGAGATGACAGGACGTCGCACACCCAGAGGTTATGAAGTGACATCCCGATGTGTTTGTCCCTGAATCACTGCGATATGCACACACAGACATGCACACACCACGTCAAGTTATTCAAAGGGTGACTTGTCAC